GTAAATGGATGGAGCTGGAGAAGATAATGCTAAGAGAAGTTAGCCAATCCCCCCCCCCCAAAAAAAAATGCCAAATATTTTCTCTGATATAAGGTGACTGACTCACAGTGGGGTAGGGAGGGGAAGCATGGGAGGAAAAGATGAACTCTAGATAGGGCAGAGGGGTGGGAGGGGAAAGGAGAGGGCAGGGGGTTAGCAAGGATGGTGGAATGTGATGGACATCATTATCCAAAGTACATGTATAAATCACGAATTGGAGTGAACATATTTTACCTACAACCAGACATATGAAAAATTGTGCTCTGTATGTGTAATAAGAAATATAATGCATTTCACTGTCATTTATTTAAAAAAATCAATAAAAATTTTTTTAAAAATCAATTTATTGCATATGGATTTCCAGATCTCCTAAGAGAAGAAGGCTATCTTTTCTCCGCTGTATTTTTTTGGTACCTTCTTTAAGTATGAGGTAACTGTATTTATGTGGCTTTGTCTCAGTGTGTTCTATTCTATACTTTGGTCTACATGTCTATTTTGGTGCCAATTCCATGCCGTTTTTGTTATTATAGCTCTATAGTATACAGTAAGGTCTGGTATTGTGATGCCTTCTGCTTCGCTTTTCTTGCTAAGGATTGCTTTGGCTATTCTGGGTCTCCACTTTTCCAAATGAATTTCATGATTGCTTTTTCTATTTCTATAAGGAATGACATTGGGATTTTAATTGAAATTGCATTGAATCTATATAGTGCTTTTGGTAGTATGGACATTATGACAATAATAATTTTGCCTATCCAAGAGCATGGGAGATCTTTCCATCTTGTAAGGTCTTCTTCAATTTCTTTCTTTAGTGTTCTGTAGTTTTCATCGTAGAGGTCTTTCACCTCTTTTGTTGATTACCAACTATTTGATTGATTTATTTATTTAGAGAATTTTTTTAATATTTATTTTTTAGTTTTCAGCAGACACAACATCTTTATTTGTATGTGGTGCTAAGGATCAAACCCAGCACCGCGTGCATGCCAGGCAAGCGCGCTACCGCTTGAGCCACATCCCCAGCCCATATTTATTTATTTTTTGAAGCTATTGTGAATGAGGTAGTTTTCCTAATTTTTCTTTCAGAGAATTATCACTGATGTACAGAAATACATTTGATTTTTAGGTATGATTTTATATCCTGCTACTTTACTGAATTTATTAATTAATTTTAGAAGTTTTCTGGATCCTCTAAGTATAGAATCATGCCATCAGCAAATAATGATAGCTTGAGTTCTTCTTTTCCTATTTGTATCCCTTTAATTTCTTTTGTTTGTCGAATTGTTCTGGCTATAGTTTCAAGGACTATGTCAAATAGAAGTGGTGAAAAAGGGCATCCCTATTCTTGTTCCAGTTTTTAGAGAGAATGCTTCCAATTTTTCACCATTTAGAATGATGTTTGCCTTGGGTTTAGCATAGATAGCTTTTACAAGGTTGAAGTATATTTCTACTATTCCTAGTTTTTCTAGACTTTTGAACATGAAACAGTGCTGTATTTTGTCAAATACTTTCTCTGCACCAATTGATATAATCACATAATTATTATCTTTAAGTCTATTGATGTGATGAATTATATTATTGATTTCTGTATGTTGAACCAACCTTGCATCCATGGAATGAACCCCACTTGATCATGGGGCACTGTCTTTTTAACATTTTTTGTATGCAATTTGCCAGAATTTTATTCAGAATTTTTGCATCAATGCTCATCAGGGTTATTGGTTTGAAATTTTCTTTCCTTGATGTGTCTCTGCCTGGTTTTGGTATCAGAATGATACTAGCTTTGTAGAATGAGTTTGGAAGGGTTTCTTCCTTTTCTATTTCATGGAATAATTTGAGGAGTATTGGTAGTAATTCTTCTTTATAGATCTTGTAGACCTCAGCTGTGAATCCATCTGCTCCCGGGCTTTTCTTGGTTGGTAGGCTTTTGATGGTATCTTCTATTTCCTTGCTTGAAATTGATCTGTTTAATTGTATGTCCTCTTGATTCAGTTGGGTAGATCATATGTCTCTAGAAATTTGTCAGTGTCTTTAAGGTTTTCTATTTTTATTGGAGTATAAATTTTCAAGATAGTTTCTGATTGTTTTCTGTATTTCAATAGTGTCTGCTGTGATATTTCCTTTTTCATCAAAAATTTTAGTAATTTGAGTTTTCTCCCTCTTTCTTTTTTGTTAGAGTTCCTAAGTGTCAATTTTATTTGTGTTTTTCAAAGAACCAGCTTTTTGTTTTGTCATTTTTTTTTGAAATTTTTTTTTTAGTTTCAATTTCATTGATTTTTTCCTTGATTTTAATTATTTCCTGTCTTTGACTACTTTTAGTGTTGGTTTGTTCTTCTTTTTCTAGGGCTTTGAGCTGTAATGTCAAGTCATTTATTTGTTGACTTTTTCTTCCTTTAATTAATGGACTCCATGCAATGAACTTTCCTTTTAGGACTTCATAGTGTACCAGAGATTTTGTAAGTTTTATTGGAGTTCTGATTTAACTCCAAGAATTTTTATCTCCTCCCTGATGTCTCCTGTTATCCATGCATTATTCAGTAGCATATTGTTTAGTCTCCAGATGTTGGAGTAGCTTCTTTTTTAAAATTTTATCATTGATTTCTAATTTCATTTCATTATGGTGAGATGGAATGCAGGTTAGTATCTCTATTTTTTTTTTTGTATTTGCTAAGACTTGCTTTGTGGCATAACATATGGTCTATTTTGGAGAACGATCCATGTGCTGCTGAGAAGAAAGTGTATTCGTTCATTTATATATGAAATATTCTATATATGTCTGTTAAGTCCAAATTATCAATTTTATTACTGAGTTATATAGTTTCTTTGATTAGCTTTATTTTGGAAGATCTATTCAGTGGTAAGAGATGTGAGGTGTATTAAAGCTACCCAGTATTATTGTGTTGTGATCTATTTGGTTTTTGTATTTGAGAAGGGTTTGTTTGACATATATAGATGCCCCATTGGTTGGGGCATAGATGTTTATGACTGTTATATCTTGTTGAAGTATGAATCACTGAAGCAGTGTGAAATGCCCTTCTTTATCCCTTTTCATTACCTTTGGTTTGAAATCCACTTTATCTGATATAAGGATGAAAACCCCTGCTTGTTTATGAAGTCCATGTGAGTGGTACGTTTTTTTCCACACTTTCACCTTCAGTCTTTGGATGTCTTTTCCTGTGAGATGAATCTCTTCAAGGAAACATATTGTTGGGTCTTGTTTTTTAATCCCTTCTGTCAGTCTATGTCTTTTAATTGATAAGTTTGTGCCATTCACATTCAGGGTTATTATTGAAATATGATTTGTATTCCTGGACATTTTGGTTTGTTTTTGGTTTTGAACTTGACTTGGTTTCTTCTTTGATTAGCTTTCCCCGTAGTATAGTTCCTCCCTTTGCTAATTTTCATTGTTGTCTTTCATTTCCTCCTCCTGGAATATTTTGCTGAGGATTCTCTGTAGTGCAGGCTTTCTCAGTGTAAATTCTTTTAACTTTTGTTTATCATAAAAATTTTATATTTTGTCATCAAATATGAATCCAATAATATTCTTTTTAAAAATATTTTATTTTAGTTATAGTTGGACACAATACCTTTATTTTATTTTTATGTGGTGCTGAGGATCAAACCCAGGGCCTCACATGTGCTAGAGGAGTGCTGTACCGTTGACCAATATTCCTGCCCCACAATACATATTCTTAAAAATAATTTATTTATCATTGTGAGAAGGATCTTAAAAAGAGTGGACATCAGGCTACAGCATTACTTTTTTTTACTTTTTATTTATTTTTATATTTTATTGTTTTTGGTGCTAAGGACTCAATTCCAGGTTTTTTCACATGATAGGCAAGACTCTATCACTGAGCTACTTCCAACCTACGGATTACTTCTTATCAAAAACAACATAAGTTACTAAAAAATCCTGTTGGTTAATTTTCACAATATTACATGAGGTGAGTTTCATAAGGATTATTTATCTATTTACTTTAAATTGTAATCTAAATCCCTTAAAATTTAGTTTCCTTTATTTGACAGTGACCAACTTGTGGAAACAACAAAATTAGAAAAAACAAAATAAACAAACAAAACCCACCTGTAATTGTTAAAAAATAAGATGCATAATATATACTTAGCACATAAGTGGACTTGGTAGTATTATCTGAAACATAAAAATGAGACTCCAGTAAAAAGTCAATCCTAGCTCCCCTTCACACAACCTGTTTCATGGAATACTGATACCACTGATACTTTCTAGTAATTAATAGAACAAATACTTACTCAGGCACTTCAAAAGATGCTTTGTACTTCATTTATTTTCTCACACTGATCCAAAGTATCAGATACAATTTTTTTAATCATTACAAAAAAATCATTACAAAAAAAATAAGCACACCCATATTTTTGTTGTTATTCAAAGTTACACAGCTAATCAGTAAAGGGACAGAATCTGAACTTAGATACTCCATACAAAAAACACCTATTCTTAGTATATACCACTTAGGATACATCTTCTTAACTCCTTGATGAATAAGAAGCATCATAGGTAAACTGTCATAATGTTAAGGGGTCATTCTTCAGAGAGGTACTCCTGCACATAACCCTCAATAATATAGAAAGGTGGTAGAAAACTCTCCTTCATCTTCTGTCAGTGGCAAAAAAGAATAGAGTTTTAAAGATTTGGCAGAGGTGTTACCTCAATAATGAGATTATTTAATGAGGAATTGGTCTTTTTTCCTTGGAAGCATGAAAGATGATGAATTAAGATTCCCTAGGAGAGATAAACAAGATATTGGGATAAATCCTTATGTGAGGATTTATATATCCTTATGTATACTTATGAGTGAAAGACTTCCTAACAGAAAGGCTGAAGGCAGCAAGGAAAGGTGGTTAAAATGGTGCAGATGAGCTCAGGTGCATGGGATGCACAAAAGGGCCAGAGGTACTGCACAGACTGGGTGAGGGTATAAGAAATTTCAAGAGCTTGGCCAGTGTAGTGTCATGGGCTCTGGACATGTCTCAGGATTGAAGTAAGGAAAAACTTCTTTAGGAAAGGAACATTTGGAGAATTTATAGATAAGAAACCCATGGTTTGTAACATTGTAAAATGAAAGTTCACGAGCCTCATAATCTAGGAAAACCCCAATACGTTGTGGAGGAACAGTCACAGAGAGGACCAAGGTCAAAGGATAATGGGCACCTTTCTTCCAAAAAGCATTATATTGAAATCTGTGAAGACCTATAACCCAGTAGCCACATGTAGGTTGATTATTTTTACTTTGTCCAGGGACAGATGCACATTCGAAATATTTTCCATCACACAAACCCAGAGACCAGGCACTTTTCTTGGACACATCTACCATCCAGTAATGTTTTCCTGATGTGATAGGTGGGTAGCCCAGAACACCTTCATGATAATTCCCACACTTGCGCCAGTATTGGGTTACATATCTTAATTGTCTCTGGTCCTTAGAAATGACAATATTTGGATTGTTGCTTGGAGACAGTGTCAGGTGAACTGTAGAAAAATTAGAGTCACATCACAGATACGTTTTAGCTTTATTTGTGATGTTATAAAAGGAATCCTGAGAAGAACTTAAAAAGTGGGAAAAACTCTGATCAGAAGTCAGAGAGATAGAACACTGCAGAAGCAAGGTATGTGAGTGACTGTTAGAAGGAGCAACATGGACCTTAAAACATGAGAACTACCAGAGAAATCAATTCTGAAAGATGCTGAGAAGACTGTGGCTTATGATACAGTAATTTCTGCTTACCCCAGTAGCATTGAACGTCTGTCAGCTCTGAAATGATAAAAATTCATGGTGTGAAACACAAAGGTGTCAGCACTGAAATCCATTCCCTTTCCAGATTAGGAAAAGGAGGAGGGATATCATAGGGCAGTAAACTGACAAGTGAGGATGAATGGCCACTCCCCATTAAATATGATCACATGGTGAACACACAGAGTCCACTCTCCCTTGTCTCCTCTACCCGTACCTAGAAACCAACATCTTCCCCATCTATCACCTGCCACCACTAGAATCACACATTAAATCTAGCTCTTCTCACTTTTAGACACCTGCAGCATCCCCTTCAGATCAGGAGCTCGGAATACTCTTCTTTGTTCCTTGGGGAAAGTTTTTGGCTTCCTCAGCATTAAGTCCTTACACCTAGGGATGGAAAAAGTTGACCCACACTTCAGACCTTGTGGTCCCCACCCTGACAACAACAATTTCTTTCCATCATTTCACCCCATTGATGCACTTGAACTTTCTTCACCAAGGATCCTGAGAAGGGGAGGGAAGATTCCTAACCCTGAACTCCTAAGAAATGTTTCATGGTCACCTCCCTATTTACTTTCTTTGTGATCTTGTGAGGGTCTTAACCTCTCAGAAGCATAGTTTCTAAAATGAATCAAGTTGCCCCTCTCTCTCTACCTCCTAGAATGCATGGTCAATGATGAAATATTGGATTTTACAAAACTCTGGTGTCTAAGAAAAAAGAATATGAGGAAAATCGGTGCTATGAGTGTGTGTTCTCGAGAAAATGTTCAGAAAGTAAGACTGCAGGTCCTGACTCCTGGGTATTTGAGAAATAAGAAATGTAAGAATCATATCTGGAAATGTTCAAAGCTTATGGCTAATAGGGAAGCCCTCAGGTGACATCTGAGTTTTCATATTCTCTGGGGAAAAATGTCAAACATTTGGCAAGGGCAATACTATGAACACAAAAGTCATAGTCGTTTGAATTATATGTTTCTGGAAAGAGCTTGATGCTGCCAGGCAGGTGTGCACTTTCAGATACCAAGATGCACCTTTCCACAAGTATGTAATGCACATGGATCAACTGATTCTGGTGTGCTACTATCCTTGCACACCAAGGCAGTGCCTTCTGGCACCTTCAACTTAGTTCCTGATGGTTCAGACTCCTTATCATGCAACTGGAAGATGCCTGTACATATAGAATCTTTCAGACACTTTATCCCTGACAGACCAACTTCCCCAGTCAAGATTGTATAATCATCAAGAGATTCTAGTTTGTTTGTGAAAATCTAAATAGAAATCACAAAGCCACCCCTGGTTTACTTTATTCCCAGAAGAAACATACAAACATCCAGGAATTGTCCCAATGAGCAATTCTTAGTACTTATCAGACAAAGAAGAAAATTCTTGCCTACAGTAAATAAAGCAGCCATTAAAACTGCAACCAGAGCTAGAAGTAGGCACATGAGGGCAAGAAATGGTGGTGCCACAGGGGGCCCGATGTTGGAACATCTTGTCCCCAGGACAACTACTGTTTCAAACTCTGACCCCCACAACTCAAGTCCCCACCATAGAATCTATCTAGTGTATAAAATACTCAAATCGTGATTTGTGACTATACATTTAGATAATATTATATCTAAATTTCCCTGACCTGGGAGATGTTATATTCTAACTGAACGCCAGATAATTCTGCTAAGTACAAATCTCTTCTTACTACACAAAAGATCATCCCTGGTATCCCACACGTACCTTTTCATGACATCATCCATATCCTAGAAAGAAGGGAGAAAAACACAAGTTACGAAATCATAGACTGTCCTCACTGACCAAGTTTCATCACATTGTCACCAGCCCCTGTTGTGCTGAGAATGGACATAGTCCCAGTGTGATGAACAAAATAATAAACTCAAGGGCTAGGGATATAGCTCAATTGGTAGAGTGCTTGCCTCACATGCATGAGGCCCTGGGCTCAATCCCCAGCACCACAGGAAAAAAAAAAGACAAATTCATGCCAGTCATTACATGGTTCCCATGAGATAATTTAAATAATATACAATTCTTTCACTTATTTAACATACACATAAACTGTTATACTATTATTTGCCAAGTATAAGCAGACTCTGGATAATCAAAGTTGAGTAAAAGACTGAAAGAAAGAGGGAAATGCCAGAATTCCACGTAAGGCAAAAAAAAAAAAATATATATATATATATATATATATAT